ACTTCTACTCATAAATCCAAGTCATGGGACCAAAATATTCCCAAAACATAACCCAAAACCAGATCTATGTAAAAGAGCAATAAAGTTGGAAGCTTTATACCTCCATAAACTTACAAATGTGAAGAGATTTTTGGATCTTCAGGCTCTAATCAAATGAATGCTCCACCAATGAGTTCCTCATTCTTCAATATGGACCAAAACACATAAAAATCACTCCAAAAGCTCTAGATCTCACGAAAAGGGGTAATGGTTGGTAATACTACTTTAGGGTGAATGGAGGTTGAGAATGGAAAATCCTCAAGGAACTTAAGTTGCTTTAATAGGGTCTAAGTGTTGAATATTAGGGTTTGAGTGTGGGTCGTGTACGCCTAACGTACCTATAAGTATGCCCCAACATACTAGAGTCATCCTGTGAACTTCTGTAGTCAGCACGCCCAATGTACTACATAAATTCCTGCTTTTCTTTTAAACTTCAAACGACCATAACTTCCACACCTACCTGTATTTTTCTCATGGATCATCACCTCGCCCAAACAATACTCATAAGCATAGATGAACACTTAGTCCTCAACCCCTAGAAGAAAGGCTAAACTTTTCATAACTGGCCGAGTCACCCTTACGTCTTATCCGTGAAACTTCCACCAACCCTGCAACAGTCATGTATGCTAGCCATACATAACAATGGATTGTATAGACATTCGGATATCTGATCCAACCCTAAGCCCTTCATCAAATAAGAATAGGAAATAAGACAAAACCAGACATTCTCAGGCTATAAGATATTTGTTATATATAACCATGATGCATACACTAAGCAATTACAGTAATGATGCCAATTTCATAAAAGAAAGTTCTAGGCTATCAGGCATCATATAATCTGGCAATTGTATCATGCAGTTCCTGAAGATCCCTAGCCTATCACTAGCATGCTTTTCTAACATATCATAATATCAAATAACAACTATGGTATTTCGAGATCTACTTACTACCTCCGGTTGATCGTACACATTGCATCCTCTTTGAGCATTTTGAAAACCATGTGAAAATCATTTTGAAAATCTTTTCGTTCTTTTGAGACTGGATTTACACGAGTGTTCCTCCAATTCACTCAAACCAAGGCTCTGATACTAACTTGTAACATTCGAAAAATTCTCGAAAATTTTAATTTTTGAAATAAGTACAAACCATCATTTATTACATATTGTTTTCAAAATAAATCTCACATCAGAGTTTTCTTAGAAATCATAACACAAAATACGAGGAGGTGCAGGATCAAGGCTTCACCATCCCGCGATCATCTGAGGTACCTAAAACATAATAAAAAATTATAAGCCTAGAGCTTAATGAGTCTTCCGCAAAATACCACCACAATATATAATCATAGCTATCACGCAACAACACACATAGAGAACCTTAAGCATGTCTGGACTGCCACACCGGGCCTATAGCCTATCTGGACCGTTCTATGGGCCTTTGGCCTAACTGATCCGCCTCGTAGGCCTTTAGTCTATCCGAGCCGCAATGGGTCTGTTGGCCTTCAGCACAAAGTAGGAGCACCTCAACACAACCACACACGCACATGTCAACATATACACAACTTAAAAACACATAATCAAACAATAGGCATGGATAGATCATACAGATCAATAAGCATAGCATCATCCTATCTGCTAGGATTCAGATTTAACAAATTACTACAATACTCAATTATACGATAACCAGGATAACAATCCAAAGGGACAACCTTGTTCCCTTCGACCTAACAAGTACAGTGAGGAACACTCACCTCACAAGTAGTGCTAAACTAGTAAGATCCAACTCCAAATTTCATCTCCGGCCCAAATGCCTACAACCATCATGTTATCATTTCTATCAAAACTTTGAAATACACAAAATACCCTCAAGAGTCAAACTTTGTCAACCATGGACAAAGTCAAAGTCATCAGTCAAGGTCAACAGTCCATGTTGACCCAACTCATCGAGTGCACCTACCAACTTGTCAAGTTCCTACCGTATTCAGAGAGTCGGGAAACCCCCTAGCCAACTTGCTGAGTTGGCTGGAAAACTCGCTGAGTTTTCCAAGCTTAACACATTCAGTCATTTTTCATCAACCTAACGCCTTAAAACATAGATATAATACCCAAGGGCTAGAAAACCATGTAAAGTTGCTAACTTTACATCCATGCATGTCCCAAAGAGGCTCCAAAACACAAGGAAGGATTAATAAGGGACCTAAGGCATGAAGGAGGCCTAGAACTTGATAAAGCTTGCAACTTTAAGTCCAATGAGGCGATAAAACATCCAGATCTGAAGTGATAATTTCATGAAATACGCACCCCATGAACAATCCCAACAATCAGCCAAATATGACAATAAACTTCTAAGAAAGTTATCTAAGCAATAGATAAGAAAGGTGTCGACTTTATACCTCAAAATGACTACAACAAAAGGGTAGGTTCTAGATCAATATCCTTCCTCTAAATCAAGCCACTTCAAACTTCAAGCTCCTTCAAAAGAACATCAAGAAATCACTCTTCAAGATCAAACACACACAAATATAAGAAATGATGCACGAACTAGGGATTTTTGGACACATGATACTGATAATGAGGCCACCCAAAGGGTATAAGGCCTTTAAACAGGGTACAACACCGTAAAAGTTAGGGTTTCTTAATCAGCCACCAAATCATCAAGTTTTCCTCAACAACTCGTCGAGTTGGTCCAAAAAGATGCACAGTCCAAAAAATCTTCAATAGGTCAAGTTGAGGCCATCAACTCGACGAGTTCCAAGGGGAATTTGTCTTTTATGGAATAAATATCATATCTGGAAGTCTAGATGTTACATTCAAGTACTAAATTGAGGCGTAATCCCTATTTCTTGTATTTGTGAACTGTAGGGCTGCTATTTGGAGCAGTGATTAGTTTAGCTATCTTTTGAAATTCGAGCTGAGTTTTTGTCATTGTATCTGTGGGTCAAAGGAACCAATGCCGACCCACTAGGTTGTGTTATGTATCATGGTATATATTATGATGCTATGCTATAGTGAGTTGTTAGATTGGCGGATCTGAATGATTACCTGTATTTGCTGGACATATGTTAGATGGATAGATTTGTATAATTACATGTACTTGGTTATCTGTTATCTGTTACATATGTCGACATGTTGTGGTTGGGTTGAGGTGATCCTGCTTTGTGCTAAAGGCCAAGATACATGGGCTGTTGGGTAGATATTGTAGGCCCAAGGGAGTAGTGTAACTTATGTTGTAGGCTCGAGAGAAGTCTAACTTATAGCTGATGGCTTAACGACAGACTACCCTTGTGCTGTAGACCTTATTCCATGCATTGTATGTATTTTGTTGTAAGGGGTATTTTGGGTGAACTCAGTAACCTTTGGCTTACAATTTGATTTCATGGTTTTAGGTATATCACATAATCGGGGCAATGCGAAGGTGCGATTGTACACATCATCCATGGATATTATACTGAGATATGTTTTTGGATACTCTTATTTAATAACTAAGTTTTTGGAAACAATGTTTTGTATGACTTATAGATAATAAAATGGTTTTCAAAAATCAAAATTTTTACTATGATTTTTGAGACGTTACAAGTCGAGTCAACGGTGGTCCTCCGGTGACAACCTAACCGGAAAACAAAGAAAAATTGCAACGACATTCACCTAAATCAAAATGGAATCTGAAAAATATTTCACACGGATCACCAATTTCTCGCAATTAAAAAAAAAAATTAAAATCATTTAACAACCACTAGTCGTTGGTATAGAGTTCACACGAATCACCAATTTCTGTGTCGATGACATGCTATCGGGATAGCTTATCCAAAAAGGACATCACTTTTAGTTTCATCGACAAAGGTTTTCAGAAAAACGCAAAAATAATTTTGTTCCCGCCAACCCTATGCCGACAACAAGTCGTGGGCATAGAGTTCCGGGTTGAAGAAAATTGGTCATCTCTATACCCACGGCAAGTCGTAAGTGGATAGCCGATGTTTTAGTGACGACAAGTGCATCGGTATAGGTGTCGTCGACACAGGTGGAGATTCTTGTAGTGAATATTCACAACTCGCACTTAAGGACATTCCAAGTATAAAACATTCACATTGAAATGAAAAACAAATGTTACAACTTAGCAGTATCCTAGAAAATGAAAAGAGTAAGTTGCAAAATTTGGTTCTTATGATATTACACAATATGCAATTTCATTCAAGTTTTGTTTTGGTTACAATTTTTTTTTTTTTTATGTTGCATATATATGACCCATCGAAGTCATATCTTATGTTATTTTAATTAAATAAGCAAATGTATATTGTATATTATTTTTTTTGTGTTGTGGTTTTTTGTTTTCTTCATTTTCTTAAATTGGCCGTGTTCGTGTTAGCTACACAATATGATAGCGTGTTCTGTTGTGTTCGGTTGATGAAAAATTTCTCGCGTCGTGGCGTGTTGGATAAAAACATAAAACGACCGTCCGAATTTTCACCCAAGGTATTTTTTTTTTTTAATTGAATCAATAGTTTTGGTATGTGCAACATCGTAAATTTCTTTCTAATTCGTCATTAAACCATGCATAAGCTAAATCAAAATCATTTTACGATAAGTTAAGAAAACACTTTGCCAATATTTGAAAACTTGATTAATGTTTTGGACACATGGCCAGCGTAAATGATTAAATGTCTAGGCTTAAATTAAAAATGTGTATTTCTATAGAGTATAGAATTCTCAAAATAATTAATTGTGTCTTGATATATTTTCAAATATTGTGGTACGCAAGAATTGGAAAGATAAGTAACAAAAACTGATTATTTAATGCTCCGAATATTATTTCTATAAAAACTAACATTCCCGTTAAAACTTGCCTTTTTTAAACTAAATGTATAAATATAATTCTCTTGGAGATTTAGTCTAAGTATTCCGATTTCTAATTCTTGTGAACGACTAGAGATTGCACAAAGCCCTAGAAAAAAAAGAAGGAAGAACGAGATGGATAGATGGGATTTCGATCGCGACACCAAGTATCGAAGCAGCAAGAGGAAAGATAGAGGTGGAGAGAGTGATGAGGAGGATCGGTATGGGGATAAACGAACTAGGGTTGTGCGGTTTGATCGGGAGAAAGTTGCCGATGCTGAGGAAGACACAGATAGGGATGAGAGGAGGGAATTGGAGGATGGAGATAAGTTGCAACAACGGAAATTGAACAGGGAAACAATCACGAAGATGAAGAATGAAGTTAAAGATGAATCCTGTGGTGGAGCACCCAGTAAGGCATATGGAACCCTACATGAGACCCCTTTGGCGCCCAGCCACCCTAATCCTGCTTCTAAGGTATCATCATCACTTTCTACCACACATGAAACCGAAGGAGTTGATTCTGCAGATGCTGGCAAGATTCGAGGCATCTCTCTCAATGCTTTATCTATGGCCAAAGCAACTTTACTGAAGCACAAGGGACTTGCAGAAAAGATGAAGAAGATCCCGTTGCTAAACAAGGGTACTCACTCAGCAAGAGATGGCCTCAAACCTCCATCTAGTTCAGGAATACCCGCTGCCCCACCACAATCTGCTGCCCAACTTGGTGGCGGGCTGCCCCGAAATTCTCATGAAGCTGTAAAACGGGCACAAGAGCTTGCTGCCAAGATGGGTTTTAGACAAGACCCAGAAGTGACTGTACAACCAAAGCTTTCTAAAGCCCCTGTTCTTAGTTTGGATGCATTTGGTAGGGAAGTCGATGAAAATGGCAATGTGGTCATTAATATACCGAAGTTAAACATCTTGAGCACCCTTAAGGTTAACAATAACAAACAGAAGAAAGATACATTCCAGATTCTGAAACCGGAATTAGAAGTGGATCTAGATGAAAACCCACACTTTGATCCTCGAATGGGAATCGATAAAACTAAACTTTTAAGGCCTAAAAAGATGACCTTTCAGTTTGTTGAGGAAGGGAAGTGGGCTAAAGAGGCAGAAATTATCAAGTTGAAGAGTCAATTTGGTGAAGCACAATCGAGAGAGTTCAAAGTAAAACAAGCACATCGACGTGATATTAACCCAAATCTCATAGAAGTAGCCGAGAGAATTATTATCAAAGAAAAACCGAAAGACGCTATTCCTGATGTTGAGTGGTGGGACGTGCAAGTTCTTGATTCTGGTACTTACGGAAACGTCACAGAAGGGGGGCCACCTGATGATATACTAAAGAAAGAGAAGATAACTCTCTACATAGAACAACCCCACCCAATCGAACCGCCAGCCGAACCGGCCCCACCGCCGCCTCATCCTCTAAAACTCACCAAAAAAGAACGCAAAAGACTCCGAACTCAAAGACGCCTCGCCACTGAAAAAGCGCGGCAAGAAATGATCCGCCTAGGCCTTCTAGAACCCCCAAAACCCAAACTCAAAATGTGCAATCTAATCAAAGTCCTTGGGTCAGAAGCCACCCAAAACCCGACCCGCCTTGAAATGGAAATCAGAAGCGCAGCCGCCCAATGTGAACAGGCTCATGTTGACCGGAATATCGCCCGGAAGTTGACTCCTACCGAAAGACGCGAAAAGAAAAAACGAAAGCTTTTCGATGACCATAATAATACCCTTGAAACAATTGTGTCCGTATACAAAGTTAATGACCTTTCGCACCTTCAGACTAGGTTTAAGGTTGATGAAAATGCACAGAAGAATCGGTTGTCGGGGTGTGCGGTTATTTCGGGGGGTATTTCTGTCGTGGTGGTGGAGGGTGGGGGTAAATCGGTAAAACGGTATCAGAAGTTGATGTTGGAGAGGATAAATTGGGCTGCGGCTGTGAAAGAAGAGAATATGCATGAAGAGGTTGATGATGATGAGGATGATGATGATGAGAATAAGTGTGAGTTGGTGTGGCAAGGGAGTGTGGCTAAACCAAGTTTTCAAAAGTTTTTGGTGCATGAATGCAGTACAGAAAATGCTGCTCGCAAAGTGTTTTATGATGCTGGAGTTGGTCATTATTGGGATTTAGTGGTTAATTTCTCAAGGATGTGCAATAGTCAAACTATAAAATTTGGAGAGAATGAGAGATGATATAATGATATAAATGATGCTGGATGTGCAATAGTCAAACTATAAAATTTGGAGAGAATGAGAGATGATATAATGATATAAATGATGCTGGTTGTATTACGTTGTTGCAGCAATTTTGTTTTGGTATATAGGTTGTTGAGTGATAGATTTGTTATATTGAGATCCTACCTGAATCTTTATTATGTGTGTCATGGTTAGTTTGTCACAAGTACAGTATAAAGTTTGTGTTTAAATCTAGAAAAAAGTTGTCTAAAATTTGGATAGTTTAATCGTTAGATCAATAAGGAATCAGATTATCATATTTACGGATAGTTTAATCGTTAGATCAATAACGAATCAGATTATCATATTTATTATCATATTTAAGTGTAGTTTAAGACGGAAAAATAGGTCCGAAAATTTGCTTATCGTGCTGGGTTGTCGATAATATCATTTAAATCAAGTATAATATATCCTATATTTGTGTGTTCGTCCTTCATTCCTATAAAATAACCTATATTTCTTTTTCAATATATATTTTTGACTAATTTTATTTAAAAAAAAATTAAAGCCCCTTTCAACCTATATTTCTTTTTCAATATATATTTTTGACTAATTTTCTTTTTGAATATATATTTTTGACTAATTTTATTTTAAAAAATATATATTCTTCTTGACGTAATTGTCGATGCTCGTGTCCATATATCTATATCCAATAACTTTGCCTCTACCCCCACCCACTACAACAAAATGAAGCTAATGGAACTTTGCTAAAAGGTTGCATTAAGGCTTGACAAAATAGTATAATGCCAAAAGCAACGTTTTACTAAAGGTTACATTAGGCAAAATGCACTAGACCAAATGCAACCCTTTCATAAATGGTTGCAATTATTTTTTCGATGCAATCTTTTTTAATACAATCGTTATGCAAAATAAACTTTTTTTATGCTCATATGCAATTTGTTTTACACTTATATGCAACTTTTTTTTTTACTATTTTAGTTACAAAACATAGGTTTTTTATACTAAACTATAATATTAATTACATTTCTAGTGAAGAATTAGAACATTTCTCCAATGTTATGTACAACCTTTGTTGCATCTTCAATTGCAAAATTTACAAACTTATTTACTATCAGATGCAATTAAAACTCTATTTTTGTGACTTTTCTAACATTAATATTGTTGAATTAGGTGTCTAAACCAATAACTAGATTGGTACATATAATAGAATTGAAAATCAAAGTTCATTTGGTTTGCCCTCATAATCAGAAATAGCTAGAAATGATATTAGGAGAGAGAGAGAGAGAGAGAGAGAGAGAGAGAGAGAAGTTTTGTTAAGGGACGAGGGAGTTCTTTCCTCCGAACAAACTTAATCAACTGCCACATTAACATTTCATTCTCTTTTCTTTTCTATCTTTTTCAATCTATAATACATGGAAACCTTATCTTTCCTAACTCATTCAACCTAGTTGTCACATCATTATTATTTATTTAATTAAATTAGAAAATATAAAATAAAGTAAAACATAACTTTTTGTTTCTATAAAAATCTTTTGCTAATTTAAAACAAAAAAACAAATATAAAATGATTAAAAAAACCATGATTCATGCATTTAAAATAAGTGAAAAGTTTACAGAATTATATAGCAAAAAAAATCACGTTAAATCTAGTCAAACTAAAATTTTGGTTCATAAACTTATTTTCAACAAAAGGTTATTTGATAAACATTAGGCTCAGAAGAAACAAACTAAGTTAAACTTAGGACTCCTTTTCTGTCATCATTTTCAATTGGAAGCTCTAGAGAAATCGCGATGGGGAACATCATGAGGTAAATGTTGTGATACCATATCTCCTTTCCATGTCCTCAATGCATGAGAGTAAAGCTTGAAGCGAGTTCAGCAACCTGCATAAGAGCTCCAATCTCCATAAACTGTTGGAACCCGCCATTGAAGGAGCCATGACCCGTCGATACCCCCCTAAACCACCGTTGAACCTAGCCTCGACTCCGTCCTCCCTAAAATATTATGCAATTAATATATTATGTTGGAATAGATATTGATACGTTAAAATGTTATGCGATTAATAAATTAACATGATATCAATAGTTAAATAATTGATTTGTCAATTTATATGGTTAATAAATTAATAAGAAATCACTTAATTTAATCAATTGTTAATCAGAGTTAATTTGGAATTAATTAAATGTGCAAGTGATGAATTGTAATTGTTCAATAGTTAAACAAAAGAAGCAATTCTAGAAACCTCCATGGAATTGACGGTTTTGGAGGCTCCTGGAGGGTTTTTCTGAAGTCTCCTGGTTACACAAATGGAAAATATTTGAATTGAGATTAAATCTATTTCTTAATCAATTCAGATTTTGCTTTGCTTGCAAGTTACCTAAACAATAAATACGACCCTCCAATTCCATCAATTTTCTTTCATGCCTTTTCCTACAAGCATAAGAACGAAAAATCCACTTATCTCCTCTTCATTCTATGGTATCTATGGTTTAGGTGTGAGCCATCATAGACAAAACATTTATGGTCTTGCTTTCTAGATCTTGTTCAAGAAGGATTTTATTGATTATTTACAACAATAATCAAAAGGTATGTAAACCATAATCCCTTTGTGAATTTCGATAATAATAGGACATTCCTAAGGTTCCTTGATGTTCATAGATTATAGTTATCAACAGAGAAAACTTAGATCCAAATAGGTTGCATGTGAACTTAAGGGTTAAGCTTTTCTACCACTTCTTAATTATAACCTACAAAAACCATTAGTGATATCAGATCATTAAATTTTTTATTTGATTGTGCATAATAGTGAATATATCAAAATGAAGGTTTATAGAAATTAAACGCTGATGTCCACGATTTCCGTGTTGGCTAGGGTTTCTTGAAACCCTTGCCTCCCTAATCCTATTTCGAAAATGGGGGAGCGTTTTTAGGATTTTATCTTGTTGATTTAATTATTATTTTAAAAATCTTAAAATTTGAATAATTAAAACCTCATAAAGTCAACACTATTTTCGAAAATTATGGGGTTTGGATAAGGATTAAATTTGAATTATTTTATTAATTGTTTAAGTTAAATAGTTATTTGAACCCTAGATGATTTAATTAATTTAATTAATTGTTTAGTTAAAAGATAAAGTTAAATCATAATTCGTTTAATATTAATTAATTAAAAGCTTTATTTAAATAATTGATATTTAAACCTTGTATTTTGAAAAAGTTTTAAAATACACAATATATATATATATATATATATATATATATATATATATATATATATATATATATATATATATATATATATATATACTATTAAAAGCTTAGTATATCATATGTATCAAACAAGTTAGTGAAATCGCTAGTACGCTTCATTCACGAAGCCATACTATTAGGGGGTATATGGAAGGAGCCTATAAAATAACTGATATTGGGTGTCCACTCTTACCCAACACCCCCTTGTATGGTGGAGAGTCGTTATCCAAACAGGTTTGATACGAAATAAATAACCTCATTAAAATTATAATGATGGAAAAGCATTATAAGCTTCTTTAAAAAATCCCACTCTAGTTAATTTTGGAAAAATGTGAAAAGTATGCTAATCCATGAAAACAAACATCATGCTTTATATGTTGTTAATGGAGCATATGTGGTTAACCGACACACTAATAAGGACTATAAGTAGATATGATGGACATGCTAAAAATCATCAATGTTGATAAATCGTGTGTGGTTAGTCGGCATATCAATGTCAGATGATAAATGATGTTGAGGTTGCCAATCGTGTTTTCATGGTTAATCACATTTTGTGTTTGATCCTCGGCATCTTAGTCACAAAGTTAGAGCATAATCTGAGATTAAACATGTGACGCCCCAATTCTCAGGTATTGTTTTAAATAAGATTTCTTGGGTTAAGCTCTACTCTACAAGTTGGTTGCCCTACCCGTCGAGTAGCAGCGGGGTGGGATCGCGTGTTAAGTGACCTACTCGACGAGTCCATATTGGGACTCGACAAGTAAGAGCTGGCAGATGAAACCCTAAATCCCGGGGTTTGTACCCTTATTTAAAGGGACCTTAGCCTCCCTTGGACCTCTCTACAGTTCTAAAAGATTCCTTGAGATCCCTTATCCGTGTGTGTGTGCCTTGTGTGTGTTTGAAGCTTGAAAAAAGTATCTTTGGAAGGAGAAGAGTTGGAGGAGAAGGAGATTGGAGCATTAGAGTGTGGGAATCAACACTTATCTCAAAAATCATCTTCCAAAGTTACCCAAATCACCATCTTTCTTGTAGATCTCTTCCATTGGTTGAGTTTTAGGGTTTTTCTTGGAATATCGAGTTGATATGATGAGCTATGGGCTAGATCTGAAGTTGTAACTTCAATTCTGGACCCTTTTCGGATTCTAAAAGCATAAAGTTATAGTTTTGATCATGATTTAGGTCCCTCTTTAGCATGAAGCCCCATTAAGAGCTTAGATTTGGAATTTGGAGCCTTTAAAGTCGTGCATGCATGTAAAGTTTGTTGTATGGCTCAAAGTAGGTCTGTATGGAAAAGGACTAAATGGACTCGGCGAGTCGCAAGGTTGACTCGGCGAGTCACATGAAGATGGTCGTGAACTCGATGAGTTAGATGAACAACTCGGCAGGTCCTATGAAGATTGCCATAAACTCGACGAGTTGAAGAACAACTCGGCGAGTCGGATGAGTTTTCTCCAGGATATGTATGTGTGTGTATCCGTCAAGTTGCAAGGAGGAAACTACACGGGTGGCCTTAAAGTTTGATCAAGAATCGAAGGAACTCGACGAGTCACCCCGATGACTCGACGAGTTGGAAAGTGCTTCAAGTAACTCGGCGAGTAGCCGAGTGTACTCAGCGAGTCAAGGTCAACATGGACTATTGATCTTGACTGAAGACTTTGACTTTGACCAGGGGTTGACTAGTAGGTTATAGAGTACCTTATAAGGTTAAGGACATATGAGTATGTTGTACTATGATAATAGGTGGTGGA